AAGGTATCTCTGTAATAGGCCGTGGAGGCCCATAGGGTTGTGAGATGTTGATTTTCTAGACAATCGGCTCACAGATGGCGGTAAGGTTCTCAGCCTTACGCGCCGGCCGCCCTTTACCCCTAAGAATATTCCTGGTACTCATTTCTGTTACAGGCTGAGTCGATCCCAGGGACATAGTGCGAAAGTTGTGGCGTAGAAAGAACACTTGATGATGGTCCTTTGAGGCCGAAACGTGTCGTACGGAGGGGAAATTAAAGTGAAAATAGTTGCATTGAGGACTGAATATATTGTGCGTGAAAGTCATTTTTTAGAATACATCTAAAATCCTTATTCAGCATTCGTTGTTACGATGATATTGTCAGCACGCGAAGCAGAGCCCCCAGTGAACCACAGAAAATGAACGAGAAAAGAGCTTTACAGTCATAATCTGTTGCAGAAGCTGACCTTTAGACATTGCCCAGGCGTATTTCATACACACAGTATTGCTCCAGGGGCAACTGGAATGTTATACTTCATCCGAGATCTGAAATGTCACTCGCGGTAAACCGCAAATACGGGAGAATGATTTGCAATGGGATTACAATTTACAGCGAATGTGTGTTTATTTAGTAAAGAACCCTCCAACGGGAGCAGATATGCAACCTGCCAATATTTTCCGTTTTATGTTCTCTAGGGCCGTGCTCAGTGCGCATTCAACGAATCCCCTGAAGCTGGAAGTTGATATATCGAGATATATACCGTGATTCCAGTCAATCACTGAATATTTTTTCTTTTGTTTTACTCATATATTTCATTTCATGTGACACGCAGGACAATTTACAAACGCCCTCCTCGCGTAGTTCCTGCACGTTCACGAGGAAACAGAAAGTAGGCAGACGACTCAAGCAAGCCTGGCAAGCTGACAAGAATGGGGCAAAGTCGTCGTCGTCGTCATCATCATCATCATCATCATCACCATCATCATCACCATCATCATCATCATCATCATCATCATCATCATCATCATCATCACTGATTTATTCAGCCTAACTCCTTTTGTTAAATTATTTACATTTTAAAACGCTTTATTCCAGGCGACGAAACCTTCACTCTTATTTCTTATTAACGTTTTCAAGAACAAAACTGACTGTTGTTCTGCTGTGGTCTCCGCGTATCCACTAAGCAAATTAGAGATTTATACAGCTGTAACGTCAGTAATGTCTCACATCTGCAAATCTATGGACGTTTTCAATAAACAGAACATCTCCCTTGAGGAGACTGTGTTACCTCAGTATCTTAGCCTTAGTCTAGCTTTCGTTCACCGTCACAAGATGCGAAATCCGCCTTTACCTGCCCGACATACGATGAACAGGAAGACCAAAGTGAGACCACAGACGAGCCACATTGCTCCGTCGTCGCTGACGTCTGCGTTTCCTGCAACAGACAGATACAGGAGCATCAGTCTCCGTACACACCGCCGCAGAAAGAAAACAGTTGAGTGACGTGTGTGTAGTATGGTGGATCCTTAGCGACGCACTCTTCGACCTGAAAGTGGAGGCAGCATTTTCTTTCAAAACGTCATTAGCGATCTGATAAAGCTTCACACGTAAGCGCCTGCTGTGGGAGTCGTCATAGTTGCGCAACAGGTTACAGATGAAACTCACTTGTACAGTTCTAACATCGTCATAATAAATAAGGGATGTCTTTATGAGATTTGAGATTTATTTACCGGTGTGCTCTTCTGATATTCACCCGCGGCAGTACACGGCCTCTCAGCCCTGAAGATCTGAGCCCAGCCTACTAACACTTAAGGTAACGTTTATTTATGAACGGCAGGAAATGTACATTCGTGTTCATTTGCGTACAGGTAATATTGCCATGAAGCAATTTCAATGTTTCAATATTGCTTGCGGGTTATTTAGGCAAATGTTTCATCGCCAGGAACGTATATATTCCATTTGTTCTTGGTAAGCGAGGATACGCCGAACACAGCGGCCGCGCGGTCTAAGGCATGAACCGTCTTCGTCTGCTCGAACACTGGGGTCGTGGGATCGAATCCCACTCGAGGCACGGATGTTTTTGTGCGTTTATTCTGTGTGTAGGTAGCGGCCTTGCGATGGGCTGATCCCCCCTCCAAGGAGTCCTACCGACTGTATACAGATTAAGGTAAAGTTGACCATGTGCTTAATTAAGCACTACGCCATGAAGGCGTATGGCGGAGTGGATGTAAAGATCCACACTTTCTTGACATTGGTACTAGCTGCACTTGAGTAGTTAGCTTCACGCCCCTGCCGCTTTACCCCCGGGAAAAGAGCCCCCGGTACTCATCGCATGGGAGGCTGGGTAGACCCCGGAGCCGGTCTGGACGATATGGAGAAAAGAAACTTCTGACCCTACCGGGACTCGAACTCCGATCCCTCGGTGGTCCAGACCGTAGCCAGTCGCTATACCGACTGAGCTATCCCGGCTCCTATTCGTAAGAGTAAACCCCCGAAATGCGTTCCTGCTAGTCTCTATCAGTACGCACAAACTGGAAACCCCTAGGCACAGTTGCCAAAACTAGTACCCGTTAATAAGAACTATAAATCACTCCGGCTCTTGGTAAAGACTCGAATTCAGTTTTCTTACGCAAAACTAGTTCTTGACATATCCCCGTTAGTTCAAGCTGTTTATATCCGATTCTGCACAGGCAGCCCTTGGACAATGAGACAAGTATTCATTCCACTGAACAGCTGCGTTCAGTCAACATTTGGGAGCCCTTGCATTACGCAACAATGAAGAGCAGTTATTGACGCAATTGTACAATTGATGCAAATGTTGCTGTGCAGAGAATTACTGGCAGGACTGCTACCAATGACGTCCTGCTGATGCGATTCTATTGAACCAACTCATCTCCAGTTGGCAACGGTGGTCATTACTGAGTTTGGAAATAAAACAGCTAGAAGAAAAGCTGATATTACAATTACAACAACAAAATTGCTGCTATCCGCATGCGAAGACTTTAATTAAAAAGACAGAGAGTAATAGGGGATTGGTTTCTAGGCCTATTTTGCATTCTGGACTTGGTTGCCAAGCGCATCTCCGATCGGCAGGCAGCAGGAGCAGTCCAACAAAGAGAATGGCTCATCAAGCCACGTCACTAAACTCGTAATGTTATGTGCTTTGCATACCAGACGTACAGAAGGAGTTGCAGTATAATGTTAGACGCGAGCCATGCATTTCACGCTCGAAACGTCACATTGGACTAACCTGAGAATTTCACTCTGTTTCATGTCTGCTTTCTGATGTTTGTGCATTAAAACTGTTCTCTCGCATTCATTTGACTGCGTGTTTAAAATACCGATTTCTGATTCCCTTCAAAGATGACTGTGGGATGTAAGACTTGTTCGGACATTCTGGAAAAAATAAAAAACTAAAGGAAAATTAATTACTCGCGTTCATATCTCTGTTTGCCGGTAGGTTTCATAAACTGCCCTATACATACTTCTAACATTCCAAGTACCAAATCTCACATCCATTGAGAATTTCGTAACAAGCTTATTTTTATGGTGAGGGGTTGTTAGCCCCACGCCCAACCTCCAAGCTGGAGGACCACCCCTTGTTGGCTGTCCGCGACTGCTTATTCGGTATAATCCGCAACCTGAGGACGCACCATACCGTGGTGACAAGTGAAGAGAGAAGAGACTGTACTCCACAGTGTACTCTGAGCGGCGTTCTTTGCAGTTTGTTGCGCTTACTCGAGGCCCGAGGCTAAACACGAAATTTATTAGCTACAACAAAGTATGTGACATGGTTCATCAGACTCAGAATGACATTTATAATATTACCGGCCAATATAGCTACAATTTAGCAACAAGTTCTGGGAAGAACTAATCGCCTGCTTTCCTTTGATATGACACAGAATGCATAGAAAAAGACGCCTCTAAATATTCTTCGTTACCGCGGGAACGTCTTTACAGAGTTGTTACGTAGCAATGGCAGGGGGGATACACAGACACAGGAGTCCAACAATTCTATTGGTGTGTGTATTCGTTGCAGTGGGAACGTGCTTACCAAGCCGTTGCCTAGCAACGACAGGAGGGATGAGAAGGATTTATGAAGTACGCCGCCGAGATGGGCTCATGTGCCATGATTATACATATAATCAGTTTCATAAAGAATGGTTCAGCAAATCCAAAGTTGATGGGAGGGGGGGGGGGAATCACAGACACACACAAGGTCATATAAGCCTACTTTCATTTCTTTTCAAAATAGGGAAGTAGGTTAAAAATGGCTAACTAACGTTTACAAGGCCCTCTTCACGTCGAATTTGAAAAAAAAAAACTGATCGAATGTTTAACGTATCAACGAAGTAAACCATTTACGTTTATACCCTTACGCGGAGTAGACTTTAGGATGTGTCAGCATGTGAGGGATCATGCGCACGCTTTGCTTGGAAGTTGTCTGAACTGCAGTGACTACAGACACACAGAAATATATCTGTATGTTTATTTAACGCCTCAGCCTATACAGCGTTTAATGGCAGGTTGATTCGTGAACAATAAATCCGAAAGAATGTGGAAGGAAGTGGTCGTGGCCTAATTTGTATACTGTTCGGTATTTTCGTGCAGGTCCTGAAGATCACGAAGAAACTCAGCACAGTGAGATTCGAATGGGGCCCCTCTCGAGTGTTTGCTCTGCATAACATGACGCCGACTGCATGAGATTGCTGCATATAATTTGGGGGCTAAGTGAGGGCCTGTCAGCTCTGAATGGAGTTTCATTACATTTCGTCCCGCCCCCAGAGCCAATCATCTCCACAATGTCATGTTGGTTGGTGTAGGTTCTAATCTCGCTACGGCTACAGGCTTTCTGGTCCTCCTTTTTCTTCTTCTCTTCGGTCCTTCCAAAAGAACTTCGGATAGCCTTTACAGTCTCCTTCAAAATCATAATCACCATCCCATCTCGTTCAACGCTGCATAATCCTGAAGCCGCCACTAACCTACTGATACCAAGAAGCACAATCCTTCTTCAGAAGCTGAAAGTAGCTCAGTTACTCCTGAAATCCCATGCCGCTTATAGCACGATACAGTGTCGTTTGCATCTCGCAGAAAAGTGAGCGACTCCGGCGGTTAACGCTGTTATAGCGTCCACAATGAAGCATCAGACCTCTGAAATCCCAGTATCGCCTTGACGTTCTCTGTCCTCTGTCGGGCGCATCGCATACCTTTGTTCTAATCGAAGAATTTCCAACCGGTTGTTCACTACGCCTCGTTGCAGTTTTCCTTGGCCATGCACAAACAATGAAGATTCGCTTTAGTAAAGGTAGCGGCGACTTTCTGCCGCAACGTCTGGAAACGGCATGGAGGCCCTTTGTTTGCGGCTCCTCGTGAACACTAGAACCACAGCGAACCTCAGCCAGAGATTGTAGCGCAAATCTGGTCAGATTAACTAGGACAGCGGTCAGGTAAAAAAAGGTAGTTGTCCCTGTCCTTAACTAATTAAGTACTACACCATGGAGGCGTATGCGGGGAGTGGATATAAATATCCACATTTTGTTGACCTTGGCACTAGCTGGAGTTGAGTGGTCAGCTTCACGCCCCGGCCGCTTTACCTACGGGGAAAGAGCTCCCGGTACCCATTGGCTAGGAGGTTGGGAGGACCCCATATTCGGTCTCGACGACGTGGAGAATATTTAGACACTACAGGAACTCGAACTCCAACTCCTCGGTCGTCCAGCCCGTTCCCAGTCGCTATACCGACTGCGCCATCCCGGCTCACGAAATCGAAAGCACAGTGAAATGAAAATACCTTCAATTGAACATCTTAATCAAAATAGAGTCAATAAACCCTTATTAATCTGACTGTGCGCTGGAATAACTTCATGGAGCTGAGCCCTCCTTGAGAAGCCGCCACTTTTGCAGCTACTCAAGAACTTCCCAGCATTTTATGGAACCCGAAGGTTCATTACCGTGTTCATAAGAGCTCTCCACCGGTTCCTATCCTCAGCCAGATTACTCCAATCCATACCAACCCACCCTCTTTCTCTAAGACATATTTTAATATTATCCGCCCACCTACGTCCCGGTCTTCATAGTGGTCATTTTCCTTCTGGATTTCTTATAACTTTGTCCATCGCCTTATGTTCCAAAAGCAGGAGAAACAGTTCGGAAACTGGATCTGTTTCCGAAGCGTGTTACTGTTAGAGCATCAGACGATAGACCAAGTGCGCATGCTCAACGCTGCCGATAAGCAACTGTAACGCATGGACAATATGAAACGTTCTGTTTCTGCCTGTACCGGTCTTGTAGCGGGGCCTTCCTCCGAACTTCAGTTGGTCATGTACAGCCAGAAGGTTCCTGCCATGCCTGTGTATTCTATCCTGGTATTCGCATCCGGTCCACCCCTTTATATCCCGTTTATCCAAGATTAACATTAATGTTACCCACTTAGCC